TGCGTCCAATCACCCCATCGACTGATTGCTCGGCTCCGACAGTGAGCTGGTGACTGCGCGAGGGAAAACATAATGATTTCGACTCCGTGCTTTTGTATCCACGGCACTCAGCGCATATTCTTCAATATAGAAGTTAAGTTTTAACATCAAAGTGCACCGCTGTAAACTGAGGACCTAACTCAGTCCACTCACGACGGACAGCTCCTCTTAATTTCACATTAAGAGCACTTCAATTCAGTTGGATGTAATGTCTTCCATTTGACCATTGAAACTGCAGTTTTTTGCACTCACCAGGTGTTAGGACGGCCCAGCACGCGATTCATCACTCGGAATGTCCTGAGATCACGGTAATAAAGCAAGCCCACAAACAGCGGGCGCAGGCAGAATGGGCAAATAGCGTGATCTTCAAACGGCCGACACGCAAGGACGCAAGGAGAGCTGCCAGCCGGATTCTGAGGTTACGCCTGGCTAAGGGGCAAGTTTCACACTGAGGACACCACATGATGGCTGCTCGCATGGGCGACTAGTGGGGGGGGGGCAATAGGGAACAAAGACTGTCGGTCCTTAACTACGCTGCCACTGACACGAGGCGGCATTATACTGCTGGAGACACGGGATTCTGTTGCCCTAGACGAGAGACTGCTACCGACAGGAGACTCTTGCCGAGACGAGATCGACGACAGAACACACGCTGCTGACGGACACAGGACAAGCTGCCGGACACACAGAAGACAGAGCGGATGTACAAGCAGAAACAGTCACAGTAAACTTTTACCCGCTATCCTGTCTGCCTTATCTTCCTAACACGCAAGTGGGGAATATAATCAGTGTGGACGCAGGCGCAGCCAAGATTATAACACCAGGTGTGTGTGTGTGTGTGTGTGTGTGTGTGTGTGTGTGTCACGTGCAGGTGTACTGTTTGAGCCTATTAACAACTAGGTCTGTCTTCGCTTAAGGTATTATTGATTCTTTTCTGATACCGATCTGAGGTTGATGAGAGTATCGGGAAGACAGCTGATACAGCGCAAGTATTATATCATCATTATGTAAATTGCACGAAGATCATATGTCCTCTGCGACCGCGATGTTTCGGTTCACAAACCTGACATGGTTAGTCGCGTAAGTCAAAACTTTACACACGCCTCCCTTTCTGTACAGATTGTCCGACGCGTCTGGATGGGGCCATTGCTTTGAGAGATATGGATGCCACTGCCATCGTTATGAACACCGACAGTCGTTGACTTTCCACTAACGTGTCTCTTCTAGCGTAACGAACCACTAAAACTCGAAAGAATTTCACTGTTTTTGTTGATATACTATAAGTTTACTGAAGATGAGCCATATTCTAACACATTGCTGCCAAATGGCTAATCGCCAGATTTTAAAGCCGACTGATGATCAATGAACTGGGCCCACTGTGAAATAGTGGATCTGCTAGAATCGACTGATTCCACCCATCGTATCCTGGCTATTCAAGCGCTTAACTGATGTCTGACCCGTATAGAAGGCTATACTGGCGAGTTCGAGTATGACTTGAAACCTGCAGGCTTGCAAACATTAGTTACAGTGGTCACATGTAGCCCTGTTCGCATCTTGCCCGGGACTCGAAACTTCGTATGTATGAAGACTCCTTGCAGACGTGCATTCCCCGAAATCTCCTGAGGTGCACTAGGATCTAATTTACTTCCACACCTCAGCCGGACGCCTCCATCCTTCGACACATTTGACCATTTAGCTCTACTTTTGAACCCATAAAGTGCTTTTTACGGATTCCGTTGCTCAGTTTAATTGTCGCCCAAACCTTCCCGTTTCTAAACCAAGAACACATGTGTATTTTAAGACCAGCATTGCGCAATTTAGCAGAGTTTATTTAATGAATGTGAATAATTAACGAAACAAGCGATCAAACTGGCTCACAAATCGAAGTCATGAGGGACTGATCAGGAAAGGCTAGTATGCCGAAAGTGTGGGGATAAAGAGATTGGGGATAAAATTACATGTATTCACATGCGCAAAGATTCGGGGTCCAGCTTTATTATCACGATCATCATCCCCGGAAGATGAAGCAGAAGAAGAGGGGGCAATTCCTGGAACTAAATTTAATTAATGCTGCAGTTTCGAACACATGCTCGTTTCCATCGACAGAGCGTAGATCTTACTCCTCCGCACTTATGATGAGGCACTGACCCTGGCTTTCAAGTTGTCTGTATCATGACAGCCGACGTCTGTCTGCAGGCTGTTGTCACCTCTTCCAATGGCTGTCAGGGTGGGAAGAAGGCTAATGACCGAGAGAGGGGGTGGCGTCTGGCCACACTTGATTACGTCCTGTGCCATCTTCGGGGGGTTGTGGGCCTTCAGCCCTCAACTGCATGTCCCCACGTGCATTGGCCCTGTGCCTGTCACTCTCTTCGGCACCACTGACATTACCGAAACCAACAGTCGGGTATGCTTAATAAAAACTGCTTCCTTCACGTCTTTGCATAAAATCGTCAATCCCAGAATTATGCGAATATTGGGTGAATTAGGCATGGCGAAATCACGTCTGGAAGAGAATAAATAAGCTCTACCGGCAAGCATGAAAGAATTTCCGACGAAAGACTGGAGTATTTCCTCCATGGAATCTGTCGCAGACAGCGGCCCTGCCAATGTCAACGTTTATTTGGGATCTCTAGCACCTAGGTGGTGGCAGCTACAAATAAAATGAAGAAAGGAATGCGATCGGGTATGTGGTCCCACTCACAAAATCGGCGGGTGGAAAACGTCTGTAATGGCAGTAAAAGGAGTATGATGAGTGGGAAGAAAGAAAGTGACAGATAAATTTTTTTGGAAGCGAGCCATTGGATTTTTTTATGTGTACAGATAAAGCAGAAAATCGCTAGTGTACAATGTTAAGTAATAGAAAGTAGGAGCTGTACATAGGACGGCAAAAATAAAAATCGGTGACCTTCGTTAGATATTTCAGGCTAACTGATCTCAGCTCGCGAAGGTCAATCATACTGAAGGCGACAGTGTGAAGAAGATATCATCAAATCCAACTCCTGTGACTGCCGCTTCCCTTGATATTAAACATGCGCCAGCTAAAGCAAATTGTATGGCCTATTGTGTTTATTTATAACTTATAGGTTGATATATTTTTAGGCTTACTCTAAACACCCTTCACTCTCGCTCATTGAGCGGTACACCTCATCCAAGTGTTACCATTACGGTTAAATTTCAAGGTCATATTTAGCGCTAGGATTAAGACTTAGAGTTAGAGGTTTGTTTTAGAGTCAGGGACAAGGTTCAGAATTCGCGACTCTAGCTACGATTAGGGCGTAAGTTTTAGATTTTCAACTATCGTCTTTGTCAAATTCCATTATGTCTTCTTAAAATTTAATACAGGAAAGCGGGGTATCGGTTAAAAACGTTTTGCTACTGATTCGAAATGTTGTCCAGCATAGTTTCCTATTCTATTAACTACTTACTTAAGTCATTTAGGTAGAAATAAGTTTTTAATTCAATTCTCCTCGGCTTCGGGTCACACTACGGTTAGGCTTGGGCGCTAGTATCAGGCGTTCGGAGTTATGTTTGGGAATTAGGTACGGGGAGTACGATCGGATTTTCGGCCCCCAATTTAGAAACCTGAAAAGCGCCAACGCCTGTTTTACGTGAATGTGAGTATAAGGGGTTTGTTGGGCCGGTCAAACCAAACCAAATATTAATTATATCAAATGGATGACAGGGAAAGAAGAAAATAAATGCTTTTTTAAAGACAATACCTCGAATAGTCCTTGGTGTTCTCCTTGGTCTTCTCAGCAAAAGAAAATGGAAGGAGAACTAAGCTGAAGGCCAGAGCTTGGGAGGACATGCGGTAGAAAGCCTGAAAAGCCACAACCGCCAGAAGGTGCTGAATGATGGAGTCCGATGGGGCCAGGTATCACCCCTTTTACTGATCATTGAAAACCTCAGCATTGCAACAGCCGAAGATGACTGTGACGGCAGCTCGCATTCGTCATAATGGGCAGGCCAAGCTTTTCGGTGTCCGCAAGCAATTACTGAACCCTTTCGCCTTGATCAAGGCAAATACGCCACCACAGGAATACTAATAAGTAAAAGCACCGGAAAGGGTTTGATTTCTGAAGAAAGAACCGGGTCATCGAAGACCTCTTTAGCTGGGATCAGACGGTCGACGAAGTCGCTTGCATTCTAAAAAAGTAAAAATCAACTATGCATTGAAAAATATATCTCAAAGCATGTGCACTCGATGAAAAGCCTTTCACATATTTTCCTTGCATAATTGAGATCCATGAAGAGACTTAGAGAATTCAGCAGCTGAATGCTTTGTTGCACCCTCGAGGCCAGACCAACCGACTTAAGATGATCATTCTTACCATATCCACTAATACCATGGGAATATCATATTTGACGTGGCAAGAACAAGTTTAATTGCAGAAATTCGTACAACCACACAAGTACCATTAGCATTGGCAGAAAAACACTACTGACAGACACCAAGGAGACCGGAATTGTTACTCCTGACTTATTTGTCATTATCAGCCAGCCATCCTCAATCCAAGGAATTACGGTAATGGAGGCTCAAAGGCGCGACCTGTTAAAAGTCCAAAACCCTAACAATTACACAACGCTATTCTACTTTCTCTTCCGGGGAGCATGAATGCCATATATCATATGTGTAGAACAAATAAATTTTGGCCAGAAATTATGGCAGAAAGTTCAGTGAATGAGCGAAAGCATGCCGCAGATGTCTAGAGAAGAAAGCATTTCAGGAATTATGTTCGGCAGCAGTATGATTAAGATATATAAGCTCAAGATAAGTTAAAATAGTCAAATAAGTTCCAGTAAGATAATTACTTCATTTAAAAGAAGTTAAAATGGCGACGAAATCTCACTAAACTGTTTAAAAGGTAAATGGGGAGCATAGGTTTGTCTTAAACAACCCCTATTCCTCCCTACCTCCCTAACAACCATGAAGAGTGTACTATATTTTTTACAAACCGCATAGTATACTTAGTAAATAAAGATTAAAATGAACAGATCTCAAGAGAATTTATCGAAAGCATCCGCAAGCTGGCAAAAGTATCTCTTAAAAGAACTAAGCATGCGAAATGAAATGCAGATAGTCTGAGCTATCAGGTGTCATATGGCAAAAGTAAGAGTAGAAAGCAGGTGACTAATTGAAGCATCGTATCTCTACTACATGCAAAAATGGACTGATTTAACTTAAGTACAAACGACTCGAAATAATAGAAAAAGAGTGCGACAAGAGTCAGTGGATGAAGAAAAACCCACCGGTAGGTATAGAGGCTGGCTTCAGCAAACGACTGTGGTGCGTTTCCTACGGACACAGATCGGCTGACATGGTGCAAACCACTTGATAGCCAGGGCCAGTGCTCAATCAGGAGCTCCAGCACCTACGCAAGATAAATAAACAAGGAATAACGAGAATCGAAGATACGAACCCAAGAAATCATGATTGCATGCAAAGACGCGAAGGCAACAGTTTTTGTTAAGCGTACCCTCTGGGAGGTCTCGGCATTGTCAGTGGTCCCAAGGAGAGAGCGTGGAAAGCTTCGGACCAGTGCGCGAGGGGCCATGCGGTTAAGGGTCTGAAAGTCCAAAACCTCCCGGAGATTAAATATGACGTAATTTAGTGTGGCCAGTCGTCACTCCCTCTCTCCGTCGTTAGCCTTCTTCACACCGGGACAGTCAATAGAAGAGGTGCAGGTGGCCTGCACAAGCCATAGGGCTCGGACCAGGTCCCCCGGTGTCCGTAAGGATTGGTCGAGCCTCTCCTCAATGGTCAAGGCTAAGCCGTCAGCATAGAGCAGACTATATGCTCTGTGCTGGCATAGTTTGACGGCGGAGGAAATCGACCGACCATTGAATTTCTGGTCGTAGACCTTCATAAAGTCGGCTTGCATTCTGAAGCGGTAGAGACATGCAAGACTGCATATTAGCACACATCTAAAGACTAATAAATCTGATATAGTGATAAATATGTATAGGATTCATGAGATGGCTTACAGACTTGGCCATAGCCTCGATTTCCTGAAATTTGGAGGCCCGGCCTGGCACTCGATAGAGGTCCTCCGCATGCAGGCCGCATAGGCGGAGGTTTCTCACTAATGACAAGAAGACGACTCGATCGCTGGGACAATACATATATTCGCCTGACGTTTTGACATCCGTCACAGGCTCATCGTCAGAGACATAAGCTACAATCTTCTGATAATGTCTCTGATGATGAATCCGCGACGGATGTCGAAACGTCAGGCGAATTAAAGTATTGTCCCAGCGATCGAGTTGTCTTCTGCTCAGTTACTTCCTGGGACTCGCATGTTCGCTTGTTTTTGCAGTTTCTCACCATCTCCACCAGGACTCTCTGAACGCCCTAGTTGATAGGAAAAAAATCAACGTTTAATGACGTGATTGAGTCGGTTATTGAATGCGAAAACGCATGAATAGTCAAATATTTCCAACTTGAGGACTTACTGAGTGCTCGGATGACTGCAGATGTTCTGAGAGCAAGCCGCCGAAAACTCACCCGCACTAAGACGAATCTTCGTCGACTTAAATAAGAGAAACTGAGGAGGAGATCGATGACTGGAAACGTTAACTATGTTAAACGCCGCCGTTTTCGAGCTCGATACGGGTGCTTAACAATAGCTACAAGTCCTTAGCTACCCCAATAAAATACCTGGCAGTAATCACAGACACACTAAACTGACAACTCCGTGCAATAGAGAGTTTCTACAGAAACTAAGGGAAATCACATTCTCCGATGATGAGATAGTGGTCTCCTTCGACGTCGTTTCCCTATTCATCTCCATACCACTTGACATAGCAAGGCAATGCACAGAGGACGTCCTGAGGACCTACGAAACGAAGGCTCCTGCAGGTGCCTTACTTGAACTTGTGGACCTATGCCTAGGAACTAATTTTTTCATTCAAAAATCAATATTATCACCTCCAATCGGATCACCCATATCTGGATTCTTCATCGAAATGACAATGCAGAAGCTAGAATCAACGGCTCTTCCATCGATTCACCCTAAGTTATGGGTACGATATGTTGACGACACGTTTGTTGTCGTTAGAAAGGACGGACTCCAAGCGCTCCACAATACCAACAACTCAACTATTCCGGACATTCAATTCACACTCGAGACGGAGGTTAACGACAGACTCCCTTTTCTGGACGTTTTCTTGCAGCGAAATACTGACAGAACACTACAGACATCCATATACCGCAAAGAAACATATGCGGAGGTCATTGTTGATTATGAGAGCAACAACCCTATCTCTCATAAAAGGAATGCCGTTAACAGTTTGCTCCGCCGAGCGAAGACCCACTGCTCTGACGAAGAAACCTACCGAATCGAGCCCAATTATCTCTTGGATTTGTTTTCCCGCAATGGTTTCCCCAAAGACCTTAAACGCCGATGCATGAGACAACAACAGCGCAACAAAAAGGCACCAGATAGTTCATCTTAAGTGTCCAAAACAAATATATGGCGAACCCTTTCTTATATAAGGAATGTTTGAACTCGTTGAAAGACACTTGCAGAAACACCAAATAAGAGTGGTGCACAACCAAATGGCTACTTTACGTACTCAATTTGTACACCCTTAGGATAGCGTCGGCTACCTTAATAAGAAGGAAATCATCTACAAAATCCCATGCGAAGTTTGTGGTAGCGTATATTGTGGCCAAACAGGAAGATCCGCCTCAACACGCATCCACGAGCACCAATTTGCCGTGGAGACAAGTGACCATTTGTCTTAAGTGGCTATGAATTGCCTCGACACAGGACACGCCTTTGCATGGGATAAAACACGCATAGTCGGAGCTTACCTATCCAAAAATGGCCGAGAATCGCTCATGCATCAACCGGCGCATACAATTGGATGGCATTTATGAACACTTGAAAGAACGGTAGAAGATAAGAAGATGGCACGACACAGACTGATTGAGGCCCCATCTACCAATCGGGCCTCACCCCGTATAACTATTGAATTTCCGCACGTTTGAAATATTAATTTTTCAGTGCACATTGCCTGTTAGTCCGAAGACAAGCTGGGGCACCAGACTCAAAAATTTAATAAATAAAGCTACTTTTTATCCCAAAGAACAATTTCTTCAAATTAAAATTTCTTTGGATGCGTTTTTCAATTTATATCAGTAGCAGTCCCTTCTAGATGGCATATTTTTTTCTGTCTTTTTGCTACAATTTGAGAAGGAGAACTAGTTACAGAAGTAAAATGACATTCACTCAAAATTTCTTCGACTTTTCATACCTTACTGCTAAGTACCCTGGAAAATGGAACAAGCATATATCTAGTTCTTTTTCATCTGGCCTCAATTCTTGTTTATCATTGAGAATGAGATAGCAATAAGGCGCAAGCTAGCAGTCAAATTTGTAATGCATGGGACAAAACTGGGTCAAGCACTTACCGCCGGATTAAACTGTTTTCCTCTTCTCAACCTTGTCACTCTTTCTAGAAAACGTTGCAGCTTCTGCACGGCTGGGCCTTGTCATCATTGCATCATTTCATACGCACACTACGATGGCTCAATAAATGCTGAAGTGAGGGCCCTTTTGACCACTCTCAAAGGCCCCAACATTGGTTCTCATGCACTCTGCCGGATTTGAATAAGGCTAGTTGAGGGATTGGAAGAAGCTTTGTCGCGGATTTCTAACGAACAGTGTTCACTGAGCCGCGATTGTCAGCATAGTGGCATTCGGTGCGCACATTACGATGCCTCAGCGAATTCTGAAGTGCTTACCGTTTGGCCACTTTCAAACGCCCCAGTATCGATCCCCATGCAGTCTGCCACAAAATCGATAAGCAATTATTTTGAATATCGTGCTAGCGCTGTAAGCTGACTTGCAGGCTAGGAATGTGTAAATTTATTCACCAGAAATCTGTTTTTTAAATTTGCACATTGTTAGCATTTGACAATGCCTTTAGTTGCATGCATAGGACATCAAGAGTGACTGCGCTGTTGTGGGGTAACAAATTCAAAGGCAGGCAACGACCTAATCTGGGTTTAAATCCCGTCTGCTCATAAGCAAAAAACGTCAAGTTGAATAAAGCACCTTGAGCTATATCTAAAAATGTTTGCAATTAATGTAATATAAGGGGAATTTAAAAAACAAATATACGGTGCGAATCATGCTAGCAGTGAAAACTCCTAAATATCAAAGACGTTTATTATAGAAGTAGAAAGGGCATTCATCGGAGGAGGTTTATTTTTATGTAAAGTTTTGGATAGTAGTATACTCTATTCAGCTTCAGAGAATGAATACTCTGGCTTCAGTATCCGCACATTTGCTCGAACTTCTACGGTATTGCCTTAAAAGCTACTTCACACTTGCAGAACAAATGTATGTACAAATTAAAGGCACCCAAATAAGCTCCCCCTATCAAGCTTGGTTGCTGAAGTGGTCTTTCAACGGATTGAACATTTGGTCTTCACCAAGTATTGTTACAGCAGCCGAACACGTGAGCCGCCACTCTTGCCATCCATCCATCCAGACAGACAGACAGACACCCCGAGTTCACACCGG